CTGGTCCGGTGGTTTTGTGTAGGGTTATCAGATATCTCTCTTAGGTTTTGCAACATGCCACCAAGAAGAAGAAACCCGCCTCGCAGACCAGCTGTTCGTCCTCATCAGAACGCAGCAGTTGATCAACAAGAAGTGCTTGCTGTCATAGAAGATCTAAGAAAGCAGATTGAAGTTTTAGTCCTGCGCGTTGTGCAAACCCCGGCCCCTTCTCAAGATGGTGTTGAATATGAGGAGGAGGACAATCTGGAAGAGGATTTTGTTAATCCTTTTTGCAGAAATGCAGCAACCAAACTAGCACCTATTCTATTTGAAGAAAGGCATTGGGTTTGTGACTTTAAGGAGGAAATTCCTGACTTTGCAAGATGTCTTAGTGGAGAAGAAAAACAACTTTTGATTGAGGAAGATGATGCAATCTTGGTGGTCGAGCCAAAATATGATGATTACCCGGAGGAGGAAGATGACAATATCCTATATGGTGATGTAGGTGAATTCTTGGTAATGCAAAAGTACTGATTCTGAAACATGAGGATGATAAAGTAGAGAAATTCAATACGACAAAAGAAGAGGATGATGACAAGAAATTTGCTAATGAAGGTGAGCAACATGGATTAGTTGATGATCAAGTTAATGAATTTTTCAAATTGCAAATCCAAGAGGAGGTGGAAGATTCGAGCAGTAAAACAAGTTTACGTAGCTTGGAAAACGTGGTGGATTATAAGGCTTTTGGATCCATGGATGTGGAAAATAATATATTTCACTTTTATGATATGATTTGGAGTGAATTCTTGGAGCGCACTACAACTGCAAGGTGTTTGTTGGAACAAAAGTTAAAGTTGATTAAACTTCTACTTCAGGATATGTGTTCCACCGAGTTTTGCAAAACTACCAAATTTCAAAGAAAATCCAGCAAAATTCATGATGATTATGCATGTGTTCTTTGTTAGTATAAGAAGATTATTGTATTTGATTCGAGTAAGGAAAAGAAGAAAGAAGGGATGGAACACCATGCTCATATTTTTTATTGATCGTGGAAATTTGTTTCTAACTCGAGGACGAGTTTTCTCTCACCTGGAGGGACTGATGCAGTGCAAATGGAATAGGACTTTCTTCAAACAGTTGAAGATCCGAAGAAGACTAGACTGAGATCGCATTATAGGGGCATCATTGTTTATTAGGTTTAAGTCATTAAGTTAAGTTGTAAATCTGTCTAAATTTTCTGTCTAATGTTTGCTTAAGCTTTAGTTGTGATATTTTTGTCATTTCGCTTCTATTTAATGAGTCATGTGCCTATTGAGTGAGTCATGTGACCACTTAAGGGCTGTTTTGTCAATTTTAACATCTTTTATTCTGCTGGACAGAATAGTAGCCGTTAGATTATATTTATAAGAAGGGCTAGGATTAAATCTTTGCTAGGGTATCCCTTGGGGCTTATAAAAGGGTGGTACCAAGTTGTATTCAGCATCTTTTGATGTATTATCAATATTTTCAGTCTGCTATAGCAGCCTTTTACCTCTCCCTTTTTATGGGATTGAGTTGTGTGTTTGTTTAAGTTATTCATTAGGTTAATCTTTACTCTCTGTTTTCCCTTCTTCAGATTTATTTTCTTTCCTTCATAGCTGATTGCATTCATATGATTCTTAGTCCATTTTCTCTCTCTAAACTATATGGATCACACAAAAAGCTCTCAAAAACTACCAACAGAGCAACAATTCTTAGTCCATATAGCATTCAAAGATTGCGACTTCGATGGTGGCTGTTCATCCGAACTACTTGAAGTTGAGATGGCCGTTAATTCAAGAGTTTTTGGAAATATGCCGGAGCAATTCGTCCTAATAAAGTTTTGGATTGAATTAGGCAAAATCGAATCCGGAGCAATTCGTGTATTTATTGAATTATGGAGTGATCAAGTTGTCGAGGGTGTTGCCACTGTCAACATCTGGATTTCTTTTTCATTGGGTATACCGGTTCATTCATCTCTCTGGGTGCCCAATTTCTTCTCAACTCATTCTTGATATGAGACCTAACGAAGTGGTTATTCCTTTTGTGCGCATCACAACCACCACAATCTCTCAAAATCCAACTTTGAAATCGACCTATCAATTCCTATATTCATCAGAAATAATGGGTTTGGGTGTATGGGTGGTGTTTGGATCTGATGGTAAAAAAGGGGCATTATTGGCCTTTCATATTCACAAGGGCAGTATGGTCATATAAATTCAAAAAGTGTGTCACGTGACTGCATGTGATGTTTTTATGACAATTTTTCAACCGGCACATTGCCGGATGGGGCAAACTACAACAAAAATGTATAGTTCAGGGTTTTTTTTTGCAACTTTTGTAGTTCAAGGGGGGTTCGTTGCAAGTTGGCCAATAGTTTAGGTTTTTTTTTTTTTTTTTTTTTTTTTTTTTTTTTTTCCCCTAGATATATAGGTTTATATAAGAGATATTATATAGAGTACACACATAAGATCGAGTAATGTAATTTGCAACGCATACAAGCATATCCCTTTGGTTTTCATCATATAAACGGTAAAGTGCCAAAAAAACCCCCTGAACTATGTCCAAATTTGCAAATAACTGCCTTGAACTGTATTTTGTGCATAATACCCCCCGAGTTATAACATTTTATTGCAAAATGCCCCAATGCCTAGTTTATTTTTCATTAAATGACAATAATGCCCCTTTCTTATTGAATTACACTTAAACTATTTTTCTTGTTGAAATAAATTATAAAAAAAATTTCATACTAATTTGATGACATATTCTCCATTAAATTTGCATAAATTTACCTTTAATTTTTGAAATTATTTTTTTAAATAAAAACATTAATTAAAAAAGTTTAAGTAATTTTTTAATTTTTCATGAATTTATTGCATGATAAAGAAGGTTTTTATATTTAAGTAATTTATTAGTTTTTCATGAATATATTGTATGAAAAAGAAGGTATTTTTTTTCCGGTAAAAAAGTTTAAGCTTTAAGCTGAATATAATAAGTTTTATTATAAATTGTAAATTTTTAATAATAAATTAATCATTTTAGAAAATGGTAGTTACAAATCTATATATATATATATATATATATATATATATTCCATTTTTATGTTAATTGATACTATTAATAAAATTAAGGTAAATGGTATAATTAATATTTAGATAAGAGAAAAACAGGGTAAAATAGTCTTTTGTGATGAGTTTGTCCTTAATTGCAACAAATCAATAGTTCATGGGGGTTATTTGCAAAAGGGCAATAGTTCAAGGGGTTTTTTTTTTGCACTTTACCCTATATATATATATATATATATATATATATATATATATATATATATATATATATATATATTCTCTGCCTAAAATAATATTGGGTTTTAGTCTTACAATCAAAATAGGAAACTTGAATCTGCAAGGTTTGGTCAATCCATTCTGAGCATGACATTGAACTTAGTCTAGTTGACATCCATTTATAGGTCAATTTAATTTTAATTTTAAACCTCATATATCGATTCTATTCTAAAATGCATTTTATGCATTCTAAGCACATTATATGATGTGAAAAATTTAATTGTAATTGGTGAGTGTTATTCAGGCGATAATTACTTTTTACCCTTTCTTCATCTACATGATCTGATGATCTTTACTTAATTTTCTTCTAAGTCCACGGATCAGAAATATACTCAAAACTTAATAAAATCGAAACTAAATTACTGACAGTGACTTCTAATACGAAATTTGCAACACCGAGTCCTATTAACCTAACAAGAAGTCCAATTTAATTAATCAATATTCGTTGTTCAATCTTATGTTGGTATTTTGGCTCTTTGGAGCGCAGAATCAGCCAATGCCAGGCAACTCTTATCTGTTTGTATCAAGCACCTAATAATAATCCTTTTCAAGTTGTTGGAATGTGAACTTCAGCTTTGGAGTTACAGTTCTGTTTACTTAAGTTTGACTAAAATGTCAAGAGTTCCTGGTTTTCTCTCTCTTCCACCCCCTCCCTCCTATATGGACTTTTGTTTTGAGCCCTTCTGACTTTCAATAGACACTCTAGCTTTCATCTGCTCGCTACTTTATTAGCATGGCTCTAGGTGGCTATATATATTAATTACTAACTTTTATTTTGAAGACCCTACCCTCATTAATAAAAAGAATTGAGTGTATTGACTAATTTCATTGTTCTCTGTAAAATATGTAGTTATTCAACAATAACTTCCTTCCAGATTTATTTTTAAGTAAAAATTAGTGTCTTATGCTTGTAGATTCATAACCAATATGAAGCATCAAATTTAAAAATAATAATCAGCAGTCACGGGGCTCCTGAATTTATGTACTGTCGCCTTTTTATATGATTTCTTTATTAAACTATGTTAAAGTATGACTTGGTTATTTTGGTTGGTGTTAGGCCTTTTCAGAACTTAGTTTTCTAAGGTCCTGAAGTTGAAATACAATGTGCATATCATTAGCAAGGCTCTTGGATGGGAAATGGTCGTTGGTTCTTGTTTTAGTTATTTGGTGAGTGTGCTATGACATCATAGTCTGTGGGTCCTGAGTGGGAATGGAAACATCCTGCACAGGAAACTGGAGTATACTAGGTTATGGAGGCTTTATAACAATGATTACTTTCTATTGGGAAGTGGTTGTCCTGTTCTTTGAGTGGCTTTTATTAGATGAACTCATAGTCATTGTCATTGTCGTCATTGTTGTCAATTTTTTCTTGCACAAAATCACTTCTCGCTACTTTACTTAGCGTGTTTTTCTCTTAATGCATGTATAAATCGTTGATGGAGAGATGACTTTTCTTATTCAGTTGATTTATATTGAATGCATTGTTTTATAAAGCTTAGGTATTCATGGTCATGTTGCTGTTTTTCGAACAGATTGGTGCATTATGATATATTATGCCCTGACTGATTTGATCTAGATTCTGTTTTTATTTATTGTTTTTAAATTTTTTTTATGGAACATGAAATGTGTGGTTGTTGCTTATATTTTGACCGCTGCATGCAGGGGGAGGAGAGGGAGAGGGAGAGGGAGAGAGAGAAAGCAAACCTTTTGAAGGAGGATATGGATCCAGGTGCTAAGAGGCGGAAACTCAAAAGGGAGCATATGGCATCAGAAGCTGGTGAGTACTTACCTGCAGCTCCACCAGCTCCTCCCCTTACCATTAATATGTCACAACCATATGATGGAAGAGAAAGGGGTGACCGGAAGGCGGCCATGGTCCAGCGTCCAGGTTACTTGGAGGAAGCAGGTCCCAGGATACATGGTAAAGAAGCAACTAGCAAGATAACCCGTCGTGAGACAGACCAGTATCCTTAAAAAGTTCATCTATTCTTTTATGCGTTGTTCATTCAAATGGGGTCGGCCACTTTAATTTTCTTTTTCCATTTTCTTCTCTTTTAAGTCTTATATCATATTATATCCAAAATTTTGAGGTCTTTTTTTCCTAATTCATGCCACATTAATTTTGGTTTACCTCTTTACCTTATACTTTAATTAATGTTCTCTTTTTTGGTGAATTTTCTGGTCTTCATTGTATATGTTTATGCCATCTAAGCTAGGTTCAAATACATACCATGCCTTTAATTATTTATTTTTTACTTTTTAGTAGCCCAAATACTTGCTATGCTAGGTTCTTTTCTCTCCTCTCTTTACCAATCCTCGAACTGCTGACCTAAGGGTTAACCACACAAGCCAACTCCTAACCCTAAGAGGCCAGAAGAGGACCATTGATTTGCCTTATGCAAGTGCGTTCTGTTCCTCTCCAAAACCCCAGTTTATCATTTTTATCATCAATCTCTTGCCATGTCAGTGAGGTGGGGTGTTGGCCTTCCATGCCAGACCAATATATTTTAATTGCTAAATTACCCTTCTAATGGGAAGCATCGTAGCATTCCCTATTTATAATGTGTTTTGAATTTGATTGGTGAAATGAATAATAATGGACAATAGTCATATGGAACCATATTTCAAAAGCTTATATTAATCCTTTTTTTTTTTTGGAATGTTAATGTTGGGTTGGCATTGTTTTTAAAGGGTTGTTATTATCAAAACTTTGCTGCTCCTTAATTCCCATGCTTTAGGATATATGACAGAGAATGGGAGGATGAGAAAAGGCAGAGAGCTGAACCAAAGAGGAGGCACCGGAAATAGGGCTTTGAGGGAAATCAAAATATTTCTTCCCATCTGTTTTGAGGATCTCACCAAGTTATGCCAGATACTTGTTCCATCTCGTTGCTGATATATTATATTTTAACGGCAAGCAAACTTGAGGGTTCCCATCTCCTTACACTCGTTTATTTGACTTGCCCTTTCTTTCTGGCAGTACTGTGTTGATGGTTCATTGATAGGGTGATTAATTGGCAGGTCGTCAATGTGATTCGTGACCTGATCATTGTATTACCAGTTGTAAATTTTGAGCAGTCATAATACATGTAATATACTGGATATTTGATTCTTAAAGTGGAAGTTACTGAATTTTAGCAGATATGTAAAGGGAAACTTTTACGTTGTCATGGAGAGGGTTTTTCCAGTGCAGGATATGAAATGGAGCCGGAGACGGAGCTGCTGCATTTTCTCGAGTATGATAGACCTGTTGTATGGCTCAGTTTAAAATGGCAAAAACACTACCAGGAGCTTGCACTATAGCCAAGAGTTTCAGGAGCTGGTGTTGAGCAGAACTCGAAGCCAAAAAGCAAGCATGCACAACAATTCGTTGAGTGAAGGTGTTTGCTTGTTGGTTCTTAGGGTTTATGGTAGGTTCTGTTCTTAATTGTCCCTTTTTGGCTGGAAGAAAATGAGAAGAGGATAGGAGACCTTAATGATATAGCATGGCCAAGCCAATTTTGACTCGGCTTGGCAATCTTTTCAAAGTCATTATCATGTTTAATGCGATACGATCCCATCATTGCTTTATTGGATAAATCTTCTTCTCCTCTCTTGTGTGTGTGTGCACGTGAGTGACAAAAGCATGGATCGGCATAATTTCATAAATACCTTAATGAAAAACAAAATTGAGAAGTTGGAAGAAACATAAAGGGGGTGATTAGAAACGACATAGTTTTTGTTTATCAAATAAACCCTATTTTCATAACGTAAGTTTATATTCTCCCTGTTTTAACACTGGCACTTCCCTATAGATAAGAACACTGTAACAAAATAAGAACCAGCACTAAGATAAGACATGTTTATTATTTTAGATTCATAGAAATGTTATGTAGAGTTGAGAGTCCAGCAAGGCTGAAAAGTTCTAAATTTTGTAAGATTCGAAGTACATTTCAAGTGACCCACAAGACAAAATTAAGATTCTAAATTTTCGTATGATCACTAGGAAAATTTATTGAATACGTGCATAAATATTAGCCCAACTTTGAACAACATATTCACATGAGCTTGATTACCTGCTCAACAGAGAGGTGAATGGTTCGAGTCCCACATGAGGCAATGTAGTGTGTGAGTGTGTTGTTTACCCAACGAAGGAAAAAAAAAAAAAAAAGAAAAAAAAATTAATTAATTAATAGTGTTGTGATCAAAGGATCTCCCCAGAATCAAAATCCCCACGAATAATTAGGCCTACAAGGGTATTATCCATAGTAACGGGACATGTTTTTTGGCTGATGCTGTGGCTGATAGAAGGGATTTTGGGCATTAGGACTGTACACTTGCATCTGCCATTGATTTACCTCATTTTCATGACCATGTCCTGTGCCATTTTCGTATCCGTATTCGTATCTGTACCCGTATCCGTTCCCATTAGGATGGACAAAGAAGTTTCTAGAAGCTACACATGAGGGACTAGCGGAAGCTTCTAGAAGGGCCTCCCAACTAAGATTTTCACTCTCTTCCTCCCACTCAATTAATGGTTTCTCTTCTTCACTTTGCACCATTTTTCCTGGGAAATCATTTTCTTCCAACCTTGCCAAGTCACTACATACATTCTCCGATTTCACGAGTTGCTTTCCGCTCTCATCAACCGGTGGAGATTTCACGAGTTGCTTTTCGCTCTCATCAACCGGTGGAGACTCGGTCATGGACGACGTCAAAGGCGACACCGTGGTGGACGAAGATGACTCCGTTAGCTGCCACATTCCACTGAGAAAAGTTTCAAGAGCTCGGATTTGTATATGCGGGATTCGATCTATGAAGGGATATTCATATGATCCACACAACACCATTGACTTGCACCAATCATAGAACTCACATAGCTGACTTGCTTGAAGAGCTGCTTTCTTGTAGATACCGAAAGCTGCAACACAACTCTGGTATGGCATCTGAATCAGATTGTCCAGCACCACCACCACCTCCTTTCGAAATGTTGTGTAACACACAAAACTGTCGCGAATGATATGTTTCATGGCCGATCGAACCACGAAGTTTCTAGCAGCTGCACCGGTGGGACGGCAATCCATGACTCGGTCTATTAGGCTCTGAAGCTGTGGCAGCACTTCAAGCAAACATCCCACCTTTTTCATCTTGTCCGGTAAGCTCTCGAGCAATTTCTCTTCTTGTTCTTGTTCTTCGGATGTTTCTTTAATGGAGAAGCAGTCTAGGGCTTCGTCGAGGAGCTGAGCATATGATCTGATGAAAGTGTTGTAATCTTCGGAAGCTGAGGAGGATGTGTCGCGGAAATGACATGGGTAGAGGGAGAGCAATCCGTTGGATCGAGTCCATAGGAGCTCGGTTCTTAATGGGGTTTTATCAGGCAGTGACCGGAGTAAACGGTGGAGGAGAACTAGACATTTGAGTGCAACTCTCCAGCAATTTGTCTTGCCAAACCTGCGAGTGAAGCTGAGAGAAAAGTCGCGAAACGAAGAGGGTGAGACGGAGAAGATCTTCAAGAGCTCGTGGACATACCTATCCGGCAATGGCAAGTCATCAGGGGAAGTTGCTTTTATGATTAAGAGGTCGAGGTCACAGAATCCTCCGATGGTGGCGATCTTTGCGTTGGCTACACAGCCGTGCTCTTTGAGAGACGTAAATAGTTGCCGGAAACGCCTCTGCATGTTGAAGGAGTGAAATAGAAGATAACGCAGTACTTGGAAAAATGATATTAATGGATAAATTTCAATGGTTGAGTATTGGCTAATATTTCAATGTCTTGTGGCTCTTGTTCTAGGGAAACTTGAGAGAGAGAGAGATTTGTGAGATGGGAAGAGGATGGGGGTAGGCTTTTGTTTAAAGATATAAAACCTAAACAATAACGATACAGGTTGGCGCTCTTCTGTTCTTTTGTTGTTTGTATGCATTATTAGAACTTTGTTCACGTATGGTTCTTTGGTACGAACGAGGCTCCAAGAAAAGTTGTCACATTGCAATTGACATGACATTTTCTATGATGAAAGTGATATTGAAAAAGAACCATTTTACTAATTGATACATTCTATGTCATTCACTGGTTAGATTCTTTTTCAGATGCTATGAGGAGAGTTCAAGTAGTTTTTTGGGGTTGTCGCAATACAATGTGGCGACAAGGAATTAATGAGTTAGTTTTGTAGCTGTGGATTGAACTTCTCTGACAAAATTCCACATATAATTACTTTTGGAGCCCATTAATCAACTTGATTCAAAATTTACAAAAGTTGACAAATGGCCCAAGAGTTGACAATTTCAGTAAGGCAAATGATAGAATTAAGGGTAAAGTAGAATCACAGCTATTGAGATTTGGTACAAGGATGATCATCTATATATATATATATATATATATATATAAAAGTTGATATTTTTTGAATAATGACAGTTTCTTTTCAGAATTTGGATTCAAATAGTCCCTTAAAAATTATAAAAAGTCAAGAATACCTTTTAATATTTTATTAATTTTAAATATAAAATATCAAAATTCTTAAATAATATTTTTACCCTTATACATTCATTACACTTATATATATTTATATGTATATGTATATATCTATATGTATATGTATTACTGTAAACCCCAAACCACCGTACACCCAGACCCCAAACATCCACAACCACACCTTCTAACCACCCACACCACCTGACTTGGATCACCCACCACCACCTCCACCTTCCTATTACGCCAAAAATGAGCCTCCACCACCTCCGCCTTCTTAGTACGCCCAAATTGAACCCACCCACTGATCCACGTTACCACAACACCCATGTAGGAGGCGAATCGGATTACTATGCTTCGCCACCACTGCCGCGGTGGCAACTTGAGTTAGAGGAGTACAACTACCCTGAGAACGAACCGAACGCGTGGCAACAATCATCTTCCTCATCCGTATTGCCTTCCCTACACGCGCCGCACGCGCCACCGTGGACTTCTCTATAACAAGGCCGAAGAATATGAAGCAATGAGGGGTAGGGATCAATCCGTGGAGCTCTCTGCAATTGGCAATTCTAGGAACACGACCAGAGGAATCAGAAGCGACCACCACCACCGTCGATCAGAAGCAACCACCACCACCACCGTCGAGCAGGAGCGATGTCGATGCCTAGGCCAGATCCAAGGATCCAAGAACAGTCCCTCGCTTCCAAGACATAGAAATCAAAACAACATCGTTAGTGGATCCGTTCTGACCTCACGCCAATTAATACCGTCACCATTGCTCTTCGACATCGACATCGCCGTCGAAGAGTGCTCTGATCACCTATGCTTCATCGCCTATATCAACAACGCCTTTGGCAACAGCGTGAGGGCCCACACCGTCGATTAAAAAAAAACAAGGATCTCCTATATGTTCCATCCGAGTCCCTCCGGTTTAAACTTAGATCTCGCTAACTTCTGTTGTATGAAGTGTCGCCGGTGTGAGCATGGGCTTGAAGCTTCTCTTTCTCAATCTGTTTGGGCTTAAGCTTCTCTTTCAATCTGTATCTATATGTGTGTGTCTATATATATATATGTGTGTGTATATACAGAGAGAAAGAGAGAGAGAGGGTTCTGTCATTCCGTTCTTGTGACTCTGTTAGGCTTTTTTGGGTTAGGGTTTGAGAGGGGGAAGAGAAGAAGAGAATGAGGAGAGAGAAAAATTGGGTTTCTCGTATGGGTTATACTTGGATTCAAAAGTATTTAAGTCAATAAAAAAGGGTTATATTTGTTAATTTTTTATAAAAGGGTAATAAAGTCAATTCACTATTGTAAGGGTGTCTTTGTCCATTTTATTAAACTTGAGGGGTGTCATTATCCAAAAATAAACTAACTTATATATGATTGTCCTTATGCTAAATCTCATGGGTGTCATTGTACTTTACCCTAGAATTAAAGACACTTTATACCCAACTCAAGAACTGATTGATATGGAAAACATATGTGATAGGATAGTTCATTTTCACTCGCTCCATTGCTCATTCTCTCTCACTTCATCTCTAATTTTCTTACTGATTTAAAGCTCTAACCAATGATGGATCCACTCACTTAATTTCCTATCTCGTTCAAACACTCTCTCACCCCATCCCCTATTTTTTGGCATAAATTTGAAACCCTAACCAATAATATTAGAGTCCAATTTCTCAGTTCTTGCTTGGTCATTCACTCTTCCATTACATCTCTAATTTTCTCGCACAAATTTGGAGACCTAACCAGTAATCACTCACTCTCTCACTGCACCTCCTTTTCTCTCTCACTGAAAAACCGAAGGCAAAAAATTCACTATCTAAAGGAATTTGGGCTAAAAATTTACGATTTGAAAAATTTAGGGTTGTGTTTCTTTCCCTCTTGCGTTATACTTGGAATGAGTTGTGAAATTTTTGACGACCTTGAGCAAGCTCACTACCTTGGCAAGCTTTCAACAAACTGTAGCAACTCCGAAGGATTTCAACTTTCTAAGGCATGTATTCCTTTGTTCTATTTTCTCTTCGATCTTTTGTTTTTTGGTTTATTTTTTCCAGAAATTGGTTTTTGGTTTTCTCAAATATGTGGTGACATTGATTCAACAATTTGGGATTCCACAATATTTTGTTCATTGAATTTTATATTTGTTGACGCTAAAATCGGCTAGCTAGAGCCGATTCTGAATTGATGTGAGGCGTGCCAGAACCAATTATATGGTTCGAGTGTGAGTTGTCAACTGCAATCTATTTGAGACTATTGACTATCAGGCGATGCGAGAAGAAAGAGAACAAATATAACTCCTCTTTGAGTTCTAATTGCCTTAATTAAAAGGACTTTATCAGTGCATGATATATAGTAATAATTTGATAATAGAAAGGAGAGAGAAATAGATATAGAAATTGACAGGGAAAAGATATAGGAAAATAAATAGAACGAGTCTAAAATAGAGAGGGAGAGAGATAGAGATAGAAAGGATGCTATATAAGGAAAGAGCTTGAGAAAGCAACAATACTAATTAAAAGATTCTGAGGGTGCTGGATCTCTATCACAGCATGCCCCTTTGTTTATTTGTAGAAATTATTTGTAAAGCAAATACCTATAAACAAGCATCCTAATTACTTTACAACTCTATCACAAAACTAAAAGTAAATTCAAATAAAACTAATCATATAGATAAACATCATACTTGATTGCAACTCCATCACCTAAACAATTGCATATTTAAATTAAATTATTCTACAGATAACTATTAGTAACTACAAACCTTACCCAACTAATTTAAATACTTTAACCACCTTTACATGCCATTTGAATCCATGATAAAAATATATCCCCATTTCTATCCAAATCACAGCTACGTTATTGCCCAATAATACTGCTGAATGTTCCATTTCAGTCCACGCTTATTGCCACGTCACTTGCCCAGGTGTCATATTATCCCCAAATTGGTTGACATGTCATTGATACAAAATTTACCAAAAAGGGTGTCAACAATGCCCCCCAATTTTAAATGTCTCATTGGCTGTCGGCTACCCAAGTCGATAAGATATTTGAAATTTAAAGTACATTGGAAGGAAATTTTGAACAAAGGATGCGCTAGTCACTTGGAACCAGATTACAAATCAACGAGCTCCAAAGCTTTATTTCTTCTGAATCACCTCTAAGATGATTTTTATTTAACCAAATCTGCCGATTTAGGCTTCTTCTTAGATTCTTAGAAAGTTTGCCGATATCACTTGCCCATAAACCCAGGAAGGACTTGCCCCCATGCATTTTCTAACTCCGTTAGCAAATTATAATGACTCGGTCATTTCTTTCCTTTTCTTTTTCCTCAGAATTTTTCGGATGAATTTTTTTCGTTGAAAATTCTTTTCTAAATTCAGTTTCTCGTTATTTAGTGTCGTCTCGAGTGCTCGAAAATGGTTTCTGACACTCTTTCCCTTGGATTGACAACTTCCTTTGAGGACCGAGTCATTTCCATATTTTTCGTTTTTCGACACTATTAACTTTTCGTCCTTTTCCCTATTTTGTCTTTTCCCCGTTTGTCACTTTATTGGCATAACCTCACTCTTGTGTTTGGAGTTGGTTTTTGACTTCATATATCTTCATTCTAAGTGGTTTTCACGAAATACATATCTTTACTTTTGTAGGAAAGTACTCTAGTTGCTCCCGGTATCCATAGGGGCGTGGATGCAAGGTTCTTCAGAAACATTTTTGTTTCTTGGGGTGTTTTTCATAAATATCTTTTGGAGATATTTTATTTCAGGGGTTTTTAAGAAAATATTTTTGGAAGATATTTTCATTCTGAGTCATTAGTACAGTTTTTACTTTTTAGAGGGGCCATTGTGCAATTGACGAAAGTTATTGCAAAAATGTCTTGTTTTAAGTCTGGATCCTCGTACGGGATTCATTTTCACTTTTTGTCGAGTCGAGTACTCTTAGAATTTCCTTCTGGTCGTTTTTCTCCAGTTTGAAGGTTTCTAGCCACGGTTGCCGCTGAACTTGTTCGGGGCATAACTCCCTGCTCGGTACTCAGTTTTTGATGCCATTTTTTTCATTGTTCATATTTTCTCATTTTAAATCTTTTTCATTCACATAGTTTTACTGTTTGAGCGCGTTTGCTCAAATTTCACTTTTTCGGACCTGGCGGTACCCTTTCGGGGCACTTTTAGGGTTTTTCTATAAATATGGGACTTAAAGATGAAAAATCAGATTTTTATCTCTCTCTCTCCTCTCTCTTGGCCGGCAGCCATGGTAGCCAAGGGGCTACCACCCTT